CCTTAATGCCAGTGCTTAGGTCTATGTTAAAACCTTTACTTTGTAAACTCAAAAGTTGCATCATCAACTAGCCATAGTTTGTCGCGTCTATACTTGTCATCAATAGCCTAAAATTAAAACAATACAAAACATTACCAAACCAATCCATTCTTTTCCTCACCGATTTCCCCATTCCTTGTACTGCTTTTGTGATGGGTCATTTTAATCCAGAAATTTCTATTTCTCAGTTGTAGCAACTTCCATAAGTTATTCCATTCGTGTGATTTCTTGTACTTTGGGAAAACACGGTCAATCACTTGTGGAACTAGTCCTCAAATTCCCAGATGCAGTTTTTACATTTCCTCAGCATCCCTGCCCAACCTGAACTAGGTCCTTTAAGGGATGTTGTCCTCATGTGGTTTTTGAAAACTTCTCACATGAAGATTGAATCTAAATCTTTCCTGCCAACTCCCTTTCCCCTTGTGCCTCGGCTTATCCCATGCACCCCTCCCAAAATCTCTTTAAAGAGCAACATGCATGTACATGTGTGGTTTGTACATATACATACACACATGCATATATAATCTACTGAGTCCAGTTAGCTTTGTTCATTTGTCCCTGTGTCCAGGGCAGACCACTGGGGGACTGAGCATCCTATGTGGGAGCTTGTTCCTGGAGGAGACTGACTCTCCCTCTCTCTCAGTGGGCACTGACAACTGTAACTCTTCTTCTAGTGGTGTCCATGTGGAATTCTCCCTGTCCCCATTTGTATGTGAATGGCCTTTGTCAGTTTTCTCTTGCATATGTAACCACGTTATTGAGAGGCAGAGCTTACCTGTTCCATGAAAGGCACAACTGCAGATTCATCAGTCTAGATTTAGCACAGCATAGTCACTTCTCTGCATTTTGACCAGCTGTGGGTCTCTATAACAGTCTCATGTTTAAAAAGGAAGCTGGTTAGATGAAGGTCAATTGCTACACTTATCTGTACAAGGTTATGCATTTGGAATACAGTTAGATATTACAATGGTTTAGGAAAATGGAAGTAGTAGCTCTCTTCTACTAACTGGTTGATGACCTCTCCATCCAAGGTTAGTTGTCTAGGTTTGTAGTACCAGACATATTCTTTAGAATATCATTGCTTTATCCAAATAAAAATGCCACTATTACAGTTATCTTGCAGGCCCATTCATTTTTGCAGTTCATAGAACTGCAGCTGGATATGGCAACAGATTTCTCCTCCACCTTGTCAGTTTACATAACACCCTCTCATACTGTGAAGGGCAGTCCTCATGGAGGGAGGCTTTCAGTTAGTTAGCCCTCGATTCCTCCAATTCCTGTGACTGAAGTACACGGTAACTTCACAAGTACAGTCTGACCTTGAATTTGTGAGGCAACCAAGGACAACAGCAATGGCCTTGTCCTGGTTTGAGAGTCTTTTAGACTCCCCTGTTCAACAAAAAGTTTCTTATTTCTGACCCCAGTGTTTTTGTTAGGCTATGATGCTTACAGTTAGTTTTATCACCTCAAATGATAGAACTTCATTTCTATAACATAGAAAATTACACACATGTATTTTGTCAATGCACATTTAGCTTTAATGACCAACAATTTATCTGAGAGAGAATGTAGGCAGTCATGCAACTATAAGAAATGTTTAATTGAAATATTTCCTTGATTGAAGATTTTCCAACATGCTAGAAAGCCCCTTGCTAGGAAGCAAACATTCAAACTAAGGTCTGAGGCTTCATACAGCCAGGATCCAATTTGCCATGTGTACCACTCCTAGTCCATGAGACAATCTGAATTCAACAGGAAGACAAGCTCTGAGCCCACGAAGTCCCACACCACAGAAACAAAGCTGCTCTTACTGGATGCAGCAGAGAGAGCACTGGCAAGACATTCTTCCCAAATTTGTCCATTTCTGGAACATTCCAGTGATGCGGTTGAACCCCTGAAAAGTCTGGGGGGTCTTCAACAAAATCATACCATAGAGACCAACCATGCTTACCAAGGTTCTACCAAAAGTATGGCAGTGCCACAGAGAGGGTGGTCATTGGAGTACTTATGCCTAAACTCATCCAACACATGGGTGCTCTTGGGCAGGTGAGGAAGGAGAACTTGACCTTCAGCTCAACAGACACTGCCTGCTTACATTATCACTAGCTGCAAAGCTCACCCACTGCACACCCAGGATTACTGCCTCTTTCTGAAGTTCCACGTTCCTCACTTATCAGGGGATGGAGTGACTCTCAAGCACACACCCCATCTTCATTCTGAAATGCTAGATGCATTCACCTGCAGGAAACTGGAGAAATTTGGGGCTTCTGTCGGTTTAGCAAAAGAGGAAGTGGGGTGGTGTGGCAAGCATATGGACCTGAGCTCTGCTATTCTGAGAAAACTCTCCAGGTTTCAGGATTTTATTACAATTCCACAGAGAAGCAAGTAGGGCTGTCAGCGCTTCCTCAATGTTTTGTATGAGTTTTTAAATAAACATGATATTTTTCCTATGGCTTCTTCAATCATTCTTGGTGGTGCTATTTCTCAGTGGTTCCCTTCCTCCCCTTGCCCAGAGAATGTAGCTGGCTGTGCACAAAATTCCTTGTGTGCATAGATCACTAGGGAAACCAGGAACCTAACCACACAGGGGACTCTTCTCAGTGGAGGAGATAAAGTACCTCTTTTTCCATCCAGAAGACTAGGAGTGGAATCTGTTAATGACCTGGTGACACTTCTACTATCTGTGGAGCCTCACCTAACTTTTGCTATAGAGGGAAGACCTCAAACGCCTCAGATTGATTATCCTTGACTCTTTACTCCCTAGATCATTATCCATCCTTAGAGAAGATGCCAGACGTTCTTTATGGCCTGTTGACCTCTATGCCCTCTCAGTCAGAGACCACACTGTATTCTAGGCTTTTAGCTATTGTATCCACCCTCATAGTCACATGTACTTTGTAAAGGAGTTGCTATATAGTAACACTTTAAGCTTTATTATGCTCCTAAAACTGGAATTATTGTGCCTGGCAACCTTTTCCCAAATTGTGCTGTGTTTTAAATATGCTGACAGTGAACCTCCTGGTATTAGACTCATCAAAGTCTGATCCAGGTTGGTGAAGTCAATTTGAACTGGGTTTTCACTCTCATCTCTTCACGGTTCATTGTCTGCACTAGCAGTCCAGTATCCCCTCAACTGTCTACCTTTCTTTATAATTTTCACTTTCAGAACACTTGTGTCCTAATATCCCCCTCTCCACAGCTGGCCATACCTCCAGTGCCCTTTTATATTCCTGGTATCTGTGGTTACTCCATGATATGTTCTCATACCTAAAGATTTGGAGCTAGGATCCACAAAGAGAACTTCTATCAATTGATTTTCTAGCTTCTGTCACCTCACTCAGTATCATATGTGCTAGTTCATCCATTCACCAGCATGTTTCATGATCTCATTTGTCCTTAGAGAAGAATAGAATTCCACTGTGTATCTGTACATCTTCATTACTGGTTAATCAGTTGAAGGCCACTTTGATTATTTCCCCATTTTGTTCCTATTGTGAATAGAGTGGCAATGAACATGGCTGAGCATGTATCTGTGGAGCAGAACATCCAGTCCTTTGGACTTATGTCAGGGAGTGCCATAGTTGGAGCATATGTGGATATATATTTTGCTTTCTTTTGAGAATTCTCCACATTGGTTTTCTGGGTGGTTGGATCTTGGTATCTTTTTCATTGTTGTTGTTGTTCAAGAAGTATCCTATGTAGACCTGTAAACTGCTACGTGTTTGAAGCCAGCCTTGAAGTCCTGATCATTCTGCTTCCACCTCCCAAGTGCTCAGATTACAAGTCATACACCCTTATTCTGAGCAGTAACTTCTTGTTAAATGTTGGGTTTTCATTTTTTTCCAGACACAAGGAGTTCAGCAGATGGACCATTGGATACTTGTTCTACTTATCAATGGGATGTAACAAGACTAAACACCATCCTAGGCACATGGGGCTCTTCACCAACAAAACCAACAGCCCAGGTCTCAGTATGTAGTGAGAGTGGTTGCTGAGCACACAAGCAGTCATGGGTTCAATTCTGAGTACCACATACATCAGGGTTACTGGCACATGCCTGTAATCCCAGCTCTCTTGGGAGACAGAGGAGCAGAAGTCCAAGGTTATCCTCAGCTACACAGAGAGTTTGAAGGCAGCCTATGCAACAGGAAACTCTGTCTTTAAAGAAATGTACTCATGCAAATATGTAAAATCATGGAGAACTGGGTCAGATGACCATGAGTACCCTTATCTGAGGTGTCCAAGCATGGCAC